GGGAAAAGGTGGGGGCAACCTTAGGCCCTGAAGTTCTGGGGGTCTCAATAAAAAGGACCAGGGGGTTGCAACTCGGTGTAGAGCGCCCCCTGGGCTCGTCCTCAATCCCTGTGTCAGGACACCTGTCGGCAGGGGAGAGGAGCCCAGGGCAGAAACGGCCCTGCCTGGTGTGGAGGCCAGGGCACAGCCTCCCCTGCAGGGTGGAGGGACCCGAACTCTCCCACCCACCACAAAGGGGCATCTTCAAGGTCCCGCCCTGGGATGGGCAGGGGACTGATATGCTGGAGCAGCAGCAGCCTTGGTGAGGATGGGACCCGAGTCCCCCCAAGGTCCCAGCAGTTTTGAGGGCTGCAAAACAGCCCAGTTTGTGACAAGGGAAATAAACTCAATCCTACCTGATTTTTATTTTTGGTACCAGGGATTGAGCCCAGGAGCTTAACCACGGAGCCACATCCCCAGCCCTTTTTAATATTTTATTTTGAGACAGGGTCTGGCTGAGTTGCTTAGGGTCTTGCTTTTGCTGAGGCTGGCTTTGAACTCATGGCCCTCCTTGCCTCAGCCTCCTGAACCGCTGGGATCACAGGTGTGCGCGCCACTGCGCCCAGCAAAATTTCTTCAGTTAGCTCCATCCCTGGTTGAAGGGTTCAGATCATTCTCTGGCTGTCCGCACCAGGCACTCCGTCCTTGCTGGAAGCAGTCCCTTATTCTCTTTGAGCTGATTATTTTGGAATTTATCTTCTGTGATATAAAATGAAATATATTTGGTCTTTCTCCCCAATTTCTGACACACAGTCATAAAACTCTGGCGTTTCCTGATAACTAGTATCTTCAGACATTCTAAATCCGCTCCTTTTAATGGCACCTGAGTGTATGCTAATGAGGTGAGTTAGGGTAGGGCCACGGGGAAGATGGAGTGATCAGAGGGACAGGATTTACAGCCCCACCTGCCAGAGGACTCAGGAAGGGAGTGGAGTTTAGACTTTGTAAACACTTTTGAAGGTTTTGTTTGTTTGTTTTATTGTTTCTTGTTTCATTCCCCCTCCCTCCTGTACCAAGGCTTGAACCCAGAGCTACATCCCTAGACCTTTTTATTTGGGCACCAGAGATTGATCCCAGGGCCCTCCACCACTGCTTAGAGCCTCACTAAGTTGCCAAGGCTGGTTTCAAACTTGTGATCCTCTTACCTCAGTCTCCTGAGTCGCAGGGATTACAGCTGTGTGCCGCAGCCCCCAGCTATTTGATTTTTGAGGCAGAGTTTGGCTAAGACTGGCCTCAAACTGTCCTCGGCCTCTGCAGTCCCTGGGATTACAGGCGGCCGCCACCACGCCTGGTTTGTAAGCACTCTGGGCAAAGAGATCTGGTGGCTTGCAGGTGCTCGGCTCGCAGGTGAGTGTCAGCAGAGACTTGGCAACACCCTTTAGAGTAACCCAGTGCAGGCGCTGACCCGCCTTCTGTGATTTGTCCTAGCAAATTCATGGAACCCAAGGGTCCCCAGAGGGACCTCTGATTTATAGTAGGTTGGCCAGAAGTGAGGTTGGCATCCGAGTGGGGCCAGTCTTGTGGGACTGAGCCCTCACCCTGTGGGATATGACGCCATCTCCTGGTAGCGTCAGCTGGTGTCTGGGCAGAACAACTCGGTGCACAGGAAACAACTCGTGGTGGTTGTATGTCTGCAGTGGAAGAGAATTGTTGGTTTGTGTGTTTCTTCTCTTTGTGTCTCTAGATAACATGCTCATATTACTACTTCTGGACTTATATTAGCCATAATATCTCTCTCTCTCTCTCTCTCTTTTGTACCAGAGCTTGAACCCAGGGATGCTTAACCACTGAGCCACATCCCCAGCCCTATTTTGTATTTTATTTAGAGACGGGATGTCGTTGAGTTGCGTAGAGCCTCACTAAGTTGCTGAGGCTGGCTTTGAATTTGCAATCCTCCTGCCTCAGCCTCCGGAGCTGGGATTACAGGTGCGCACTACCGCACACAGCTCAAGCCATAATCCCTTGATTTCCAGCTCGGGAAAATGAGGACTCCTTCCCTGCCCCTGCCCCACTCTCCACAGCTGAAACGCAGTCTGGATTAGCTGGGTCTTCAGTGTTTGCACTGTGACATCAACATGAGCCTGGCTCATGCTGGCCCGGATGACGAGGGGATTCTGTGGCTCTGACCTCCTACACAGCTCCCAGGAGCTTGGTCATGGTTTTCATTTCCTTTGTTCTTAATGAATTCATCACTGATCAGCCTTAAACTTTCACACTTGTCTAAAGCTCTTTTTATGGTCTTTAGGCTCAACAGGTGGCTTATCATTTTCTTTTTTAAAGAAAGAGAGAGAGAGAGTGAGAGCGAATTTTTTTAATATTTACTTTTTTAAGTTTGCGGCAGACACAACATCTTTGTTTGTGTGTGGTGCTGAGGATCGAACCCGGGCCGCACGCATGCCAGGCGAGCACGCTACCGCTTGAGCCACATCCCCAGCCCTTCATTTTCATTTTCCTAGACAATCTGTCCGCAGCCTCCTCACTACCCCAGTGGAAGCCCCTCTCGGGCCCCGAGTCTTCCCATTGTTGGTCCCCCCTTGTTTTAGTGGAGCATATCCCACGGTAGCTTTCTGAGGAAAGGAACGTGGAAAACAAGCTTTTAAGTTTTGACATTTATGAAAATGTTTTGTTCCACCCTCAGGCGTGCTTGACTGATAGGTGAAGCCTTGGGTGGAGGACTCTGAACTCACAGGTGGGTAGCCAGACATTCCACCCCACTTAGAGGCCTCAGCCCCTCTCAGGGAAGCTCTCCAGAGGATATTGAAGTGGCCTCGTGACCTGGTGGCTAGCTTCCCCCACAACAAGTGCTCCAAGAGCTGAGGGGACGCTGCCACGTCGTGTGTGGCCAGGCCACACCAACCCTTCAGCAGTACTCTGCCCAGAAGGCCTAGTTGTATGTGTAAGACCACAAGAGGGTGTGACACCCTAAAGCACGAGTCACCAGAGGCCATCTGAGACTCGGACTACTGTACCCTTCTAGCTCCTTTCTTTTTTGGCAGTGGGAGGGGTACTGGGGACTGGACCCAGGAGTGCTCTATTACTTAGCTACATCCCCAGCTTTTTTTTCTTAATTTGAGGCAGGGTCTCACTAAATTGCTGAGGCTGGCCTCTAACTTACGATCTTCCTGCCTCAGCCTCCTGAGTCACTGGGATCACAGGCGTGGGCCACCCTTCTAGCTCTTGAAAGTTTCAAGGTGTCCCCTTTTTTTTTTAGTTATAGTTGGACACAATACCTTTATTTTTTTATTTGTTTTTATTTATGTGGTGCTGAGGATTGAACCCAGCACCTCGCACTTGCCAGGCAAGCGCTCTACTCATGAGCCACAGCCTTAGCTCTCAAGGTGTCCCTTTTCCTGACCCTTTGGATGTGATTTTCTAGGAGTTTCCTTCCCCCTCTGCTCTCTTACTCTCCTTGTAGGACATGATTTTTCCCTCCAGTGTTTTGAAATGGTATGCGTAAATGTCTAAATTTTTATCTATTTCTCTGGGCCCTTGGAGACACTTTGTTTTTCATTATTTATTTGTTTGCTTATTTTATTTTTTGGTACTGAGCCTCATCCCCAGCCTTTATTATTTTCATTTAGAGACAGGGTCTCACTAACTTGCTTAGGCTGGCTTTGAATTTGTCACTCTCCTGCCTCAGCCTCCTGAGTTGTTGGGATTACAGGCTGGCCCCACCACCTCCAGCTATGACATGTTTTTCTGTGGTGCTGAAGATCAAACCCAGGGCCTCGTGCACACCAAGCATGTGCTCACAGGCCAGGCAAGGCTCCCACAGCCAGCCCTGAGGACATTCAGTCAGCACCAAGAGGTCCAGTTCTGGGGAGTTTTCTTGAACGGTTTTGTTTAAAATCCCCACTCCAGCCTTCACAACTTAGTGAGACCTCATCTCAAGATAAAATATAAAAAATAAAGAGCCAGGTGTGGTAGCCTGTAAACCCAGCGATGCTGGAGACTGAGTCAGGAGAATTGCAAATTGCAAGCCAAAAACAGCAATTTTAGTGAGGCCCCAAGCACCTTACCCAGACTCTGTCTCAAAATAAAAAATACAGCTGGGCATGGTGGCACAAGTCTGTAATCCCAGAGATTCGGGAGGTTGAGGCAGGAGGATCCCGCTTTCAAAATCAGCCTCAGCAACTTACCCTAAGTAATTTAGTGAGACCGTGTTTCAAAATAGAACATAAAAAGGGCTGGGGATGTGGCTCTGTGGTTAAGCGCCCCTGAGTTCAATCCCTGCTACCACAGAAAATAAAAATATGTGTACACTCTGCTATTGAGCCATGAGCAAGGCCCTGGGTTCCATCCCCAGTACCACCGATAGACAGATAGATGGATGGATGGATGGATGGATGGATGGATGGATGGATGGATGGATAGATTTAAATATCATGTTGTGTGGCTGCCTCAGCAGTGAGGAGCTCAGCGGTGAGGGAACTGGGGGTCTCGACATCCCACTTGCCCTCAGCTAGGGCTGGGACCCTCCATTTCACTCCTGTGGCTGGGGTAGGGATGAGGGATGGCTACTTTCTAGAGGGCCTGGTGCCCTGATCCTGACTCCCCTGCAGACCTTGCCCGATGCTGTGGGTCCCAGGCTCCCACCCTTGGGCACTCCTGGCCTCTCCCCTCCCAGCTCAGGGTGCCCTGGAGAGGGGGTGAGGCAGCAGCCACCTCTGCTCCTCGGCCTCCCCTCAAGTCCACGTTGTCATGGAAGCCCACCTCGCAGGTCACCAGGTCACATGCCACGGGTGAAGGGCAGGGCCGGGATTTGTCCCCAGGCTGTGGTTGCCCAGGTTGGTCTCCTGGAGCCACCTGACCTAGCCAGGGACCCAGGACAGGGGACAGGCAGGCATCCTGGTGTGGATTCCCGGAATCCCGGGGCGGGCGGCTGGGGGCAGGGCCAGGTGCTGGGCAAACAGACCAAAGGTGAGAGGGGCAGGCTGTGGTGCACAGGCCACCGGGGGCACGCCATGAGGTGGGTGGGAGCCCCCAGGCCGCCAAGCTGGACGCCGAGCCCCGGCCCAGCCTGCAGGCTGCTGGTCCTCCTGGGCCTGCTGGGTGGGGGTTCAGCAGCCGTCCCCATGGGCCCCACGTGGCCTGAGCCTGTGTTCGGGCGCCTGACGTCCCCTGGCTTCCCGAGGGAGTATGGCAACCACCAGGAGTGGCGCTGGGCCCTGAGGGCGCCTCCTGGCTACCGCCTGCGCCTCTACTTCACCCACTTCCACCTGGAGCCCTCCTTCCGCTGCGAGTACGACTTCGTCAAGGTGCAGTTGGGCGCAGTCTGGGGGTCTCTTGTGGGCAGGGGGCAAGTTCAAGACCCTCCAAAGGACTGGCCAGGGCTGGGGGGACACCAGGGGACAGGGTCTGGCCTTGGCCAGCAGGAAGGGCAGGCCCGGGTCTTCTCTCTCCTCCCTGTGACCCCTGCCCCCACAGCTGAGCTCGGGGACCAAGGTGCTGGCCACGCTGTGCGGACAGGAGAGCACGGACACGGAGCAGGCGCCGGGCAATGACACCTTCTACTCCCTGGGCCCCAGCCTGGACGTCACCTTCTGCTCCGACTACTCCAACGAGAAGCCTTTCACGGGGTTCGAGGCCTTCTATGCTGCTGAGGGTGAGGGAGAGGAGGGTCCTGAGGTGGCCTGTCCACAGCTGTGGGCGACTGAGCCAGCCAACCCTGCCCCTGCCTGCAGACTCCCGTCTCCCCTGGGGCTGGGTCCTTGTCAACCCCAGCGGGCAGTTGAGTCCCCTTCCAGCTGACACCATCCGCAATGCAAATCTCAGTTATGCGGACTGAGCCCTCACCTGCTCCTGACCAAGCACAGGCGGGAAAACGAGGCCCACAGCAGGGGCCCCGGCTGTGCGTGGGCTTTACGTGGACACTAGACTTCAGCTTCTGGCCCTGCAGGGACCAGCTGTATGACCTCTCTGTGTTCAGAAGGCCAGGGTTTGGTGGCGCCTCACTAATCCTGCCGCTGAGCGTTCCCTCGCTACTGGGCAGACATGGGCGAGCGCAGCCCTCACTGGTTTCAAAAAGGTGCTATTTACGTCTCCCAACTGGGACTGAAAGGCTGGGCGCAGCACCCAAGGCTCCTCTTAGGTCAGCCACTGAGCTCGCTGTCCCCCGAGTCCCCGGCCAGGCCCAAGCTCGTCCCACTTCCATCCCTCCTGAGCCCCTGCCTGGCCCACCTCTCCCCCAGACATTGATGAGTGCCGAGAGCCCCCGGGAGAGGAGGCCACCTGTGACCACCACTGCCACAACCATCTGGGTGGCTTCTATTGCTCCTGCCGCGCCGGCTACGTCCTCCACCAGGACAAGCGCACCTGCTCAGGTGAGCCCACCTGCCCGAGGCCCCCAGCCCTCAGGGCCATCGCTGACTGCCGGCTCTGGGGGAGCCTTGGCAGGGACCGCCTTCCCCCTCTCTGCCCACCCCACCCACTCCCCCCAGAGCCTTGGCCCAGTCGTCCCTCTTCAGCTCATTAGCATGTGCCCTGTCCTCATTGTGCTCCTGGCCCCACTGGGCTCTGAGAGCCCCTGGCACAGCCACCTTCCCTTCATGGGCAGCTGCTCCCAGCTCCCAGAGAGGGGAGATGGGGGTCTTGGGCCTGGGTCCTCTGGCCAAGTCTGGCATACCAGGGTCCCCTCCCTCCACCAACTTCAGAGTGGGGGTCAGGGCATGCTCCAAAGCCACCTGTTCCTGGTCCCCTTTGGTCTCCATGGCCCAGACGCTGGTTCTCCTGTACCCCTGCCAAGCGCTGCATGGTCAGTGCCTTGGGGAGCTGGCTCTGACCCTGCCTCCCCACTCGCTGTCCCCTCTCCATCTCTTTTCCAGAGCAGAGCCTCTGACCCTCCTTGGCTCCGCCTGCCCAGCCCAAGGGCTGCAGCTCTGGTTGCTGCTGCCCACAGCACCCAGCTCACGCGCCCCAAGGCCTGAGAATAAACCTGGCTCTCCCTCCACCGCTGCTGTGTGTCTCTGGGTGAAGGGTCCGGGGAGGTGGGTGGTGTGTGTCCTGGCCCCCTTCTCTCGGTCCCTGCCCTCCGCAGAGCCCGATGCAGCCCAGCCTGGTGGGAGCCCTTCCATGGGCCACAGACTCCTTTGCCAGAGGGCTTACTGCAGCCTCCTACTCTGGAGTTGGGCACTGAGGCCCAGAGAGGAGCAGGGGCTAGCCTAAGCTCACACAGTGACTGAGCACTCCCCACTGCATCCTCAGAGACTGAACTCCCAGCATCCTGGGGCTTGCTCCTGTTGGGGAGCCCCTCGGGGTCCTGTTCTGTTCTAAGGGAGCCTGACCTGAGGTGCACTGACCCCGGGAGGTGCTCACAGAGGGGTTGGGCTGGTGCCCCCCACACGGGGCTATTCCCTCTGCTCCGTAGGGAGCAGCCCCATGGAAGCAGGGACCCCACTTCTCACAAGCCTCTGCCCCAATGCAGCACCCCACCCTGGGACAGGGGCTGGGAGGCAGACCCCCGCCCCCTGTAGATGGAGCCTGGCCCACACCGGTGCTGAGCAGAGTCCTCAGCTGTGGGAGGAAGGAGGGCAGCAGGACAGACCTGGGGAAGGGGCCGGGAGAGGCCCTTCCAGGAGGTTCTGAGGCCGGGCTGGGCTGGTCTTGCAGGTGTGGGTGGGAGCCACCTGGTGGGTGCACTTGGGAATTGCTGGGGTGGGCGTGGGGAATTCTAAGGAGCAGGAAGTCCCCTCCTGCCTCCTTTTCCCCTTTTTGGATTCCTAGGGACCGAAGGGGGGCTCCCTGCGTCCGTGTTTGGGTGCCTCTTGCTCTGGCAGAACCTCCCTCCCCCCATGCCCTTCACCTCCAGCTTTGAGACCCTGGCTGAGGACGCCCACCCTCTAGGGCCGGGAGTGGGGCCCTTGCAGGCTTCTGTCCCTGGTGCAGCAGACGCAGGTGGCCTATAGGCGGGGGCCCTCTCAGCCTTCCAGGTGGGATGTTTTGTTTCCTCCAGCGCCTCGGGGCCAGCTGTGTGCAGGCCTGGCCAGACTCAGGGACACAGATGCCCTGCTCTTCAGAAGCAACCCACCCTGCTGTCCCAGCAGAGGGCGGGCAGGGGGGCGCGCAGCCGCCCCACCGCTCTCCTCCTCTTCCCAGCCCTGTGCTCAGGCCAGGTCTTGCGCGGCCGGTCTGGGGAGCTGAGCAGCCCCGAGTACCCGGGGCCCTACCCCAAGCTCTCCAGCTGCTCCTACGGCATCCGCCTGGAGGAGGGCTTCAGCGTCACCCTGGACTTCGTGGAGTCCTTCGACGTGGAGGCCCACCCCGAGGCCCAGTGTCCCTACGACTCCCTCATGGTACGGCCTGAGCCCCGGCCCTCGGGTCCCCCTCAGCACAGCCCGTGGCCCAGCTCCTGTTCACCTCCGTCCAGGCCAGCCGGCTGGGGGGGGGATGGGCCACCTGTCCCACCAGCTCCCCTGAGCGAGAGCTTGCCCCTCACCCCAGCAGGAGCCCGGCAGCAGGTCCTGGGACTTCAGAGCTCCTCCTTTTTCAGATTCAGACGGACCAGGAGGAATATGGCCCTTTTTGTGGGAAGACATTGCCCCCCAGAATTGAGACAGGGAGCAACAACGTGACCATCCTCTTTGTCACTGACAAGTCAGGGGCCCACACAGGCTGGAAGATCCACTACACAAGCACAGGTGAGCGGGGGTCCCAACAGGCAGGAAGCTCAGAGCCTCTCCTCTCTTCCTTGTGTCAGGGAGCCATGGGGAGCGGAGCGCTTCCCAGGCCAGGCCCAGCCAGGGAGACCAGTGGGGAAGCCTGAGAAGCAAGGGCCTTCCACTGGTGCCTTCCTCCCCCGCCCTCCCATCCCCCAACACGTCCTTCCACCCCCCACTGGCCCCTCACCCACATGCCCTTCCAGAGACACGAAACACGGAACTCAGTCCAGTGGGGACAGTAACATAACCAGACTCCCTGGCAGGCACAGCCTCAGAGCCAAGGTCTGGGCATGGTGAGAGTCCGGAGGAGGGACCTGGCCCAGGCGGGGACTGGATGCTAGGGAAGGTGCCCTGGAACAGGAAATCCCCAAGACAGCAATGGAGGGACCAATGGGTGGCAGGGTATCTGGGCCCAGGAAAGGGGACATGCCAGCACCAGCCCAAAGGTGCCACCATTCAGGGTGTGGAGCTGTAGGGGGTGAGGTGTGGGCTGCAGAGGGTTTGGGCTAGAACTACAGCACAGGGGGTCAGCAGGACCCATGACCTCTGTCTGCAGGGGCTGCCCCTGGCCTTGATTCTGCCCTCTGGGCCCTTCCAGCACCTTTTTTTTTTTTGTACTGGGGATTGAACCCAGGGGCACATTACCACTGAGCTACATCCCCAGCCATTTTTTTTAATTCATTTTTTTATTTTGAGACAGAGTCTCAATAAGTTGCTTAGGGCCTTGCTAAGTTGCTGAGGCTGGCCTCAAACTTCTAATCCTCCTGCCTCAACCTCCCAAGCCACTGGGATTACAGGGATCAGCCATGTGCCCAGTGCTAGCAGCTCTTCCTCATGACAGGCCCTCAAAGTTAGAAGCCCTGGGCCCTGTGTGATGAGAGCCACCTCAGGACCCTGGCTGGGTGGGGTGAACCCAGCTGCTCTAGCAGCTTAGCAGGTCGCTGGAGGGAAGAGCGTCAGGGAGAAGCGGGGCCACAGGCTGTGGCCTGAAACTGGGGGTGAGAGCAAGCAGGGGCTTGGGGCTGGTGGAAGGCAGTCTCCCCAGGGCTCAAGTACTGTGGTGGGTGCCAGCAGGGAAGGCTGAGGCTCCCCAGGTCTTCTGGATCTTTTTTTTTTTTTTAAAGAAGTTGTGAATGTTTTTTGTTTTAATATTCTTTAGTTGTCATTGGGCCTTTATTTCGTTTATTTATATGTGGTGCTGAGAATTGAACCCAGGGCCTCACACACGCCAGGCAAGCCCCCGTCTGGATCTTTTTGAGGCTCCCCAAGTCCCCCGGAGCTTTGGTCTCTGGCCCATCTCGGAGCCCTGGTGTCCCCCCGTGTCACCCTGGCATCTTATGGGTGTCATGAGGCTTGATTGCAGCTTGCTCTTTCCAACCACTCGTCCAAGTGCTGCCCTAGTACTCCTCCCCTGTCCCCAGGAGCTATGACTTAAACCCACTTGATTTTAAGTCACATGTGTCTTGCTCCTGGCTGTGGGAGGAAGGAGGGCAGCAGGACAGACCTGGGGAAGGGGCCGGGAGAGGCCCTTCCAGGTGGTTCTGAGGCCGGGCTGGGCTGGTTTGCAGGTGGGGCGGTGCACTGTCTTTCTGCACACCTGGCCTTCTTACCTATCCACGGCTGAGTGCCAAGCAAAGACAAATAACTGTGTGTGTGTGTGTGTGTCTGTCTGTCTTTGTGTGTCTGTGTGTGTGGTACCTGGGATTGAACCAGGGGTACTTTATCACAGAGCTACATCCCCAGCCCATTTAGTTTTTTAAAAATTTTGAGCAGGGTCTTGGTAAGTTGCTGAGGGTCTTGCTAAGCTGCCAAGGCTGCCTCAAGTTTGTGGTCCTCCTGCCTCAGCCTCCAGGTGGCTGAGATTATGGGTGTGGGCCACCTCGCCTGGCAAACCAACAGATCTTAATTTGTGCAAGCCACTGAGTTTAATCTTGCTTTTGAGACTTTCTTTGTATCATAAAGGTTTGCTTTAGAAGTCAAGAACTTCAGATTGCTAAATTCAGACTTGGCTGCTACTGACCACATCAAAGTCACTAAGCCTGCTTTCCTCTGCACAGCGCAGCCGTGTCCTGATCCGATGGCACCACCTAATGGTCACATTTCACCTGTGCAAACCAAGTACATCCTCAAAGACAGCATCTCTGTCTTCTGTGAGACTGGCTATGAGCTTCTGCAAGTGAGTTACTACAAAACCATACTCACAGGGTCACAATCATGGCGAGATGTGCACACACGTGTGAGCAGATGCGTGAAAAGAAAGCGGAAAGAGTGTGAAAGAGGCAGGGCAGCTCTGCGGTCAGTGCTTCAACAATAAAAAGCAGATCCACTCGTAGACCACAGGGACGGCCATGGAGAGTTTCGTCCTTGGGAATCCTGCCTTCTTAAAAATTATTTATTTTTACATTTATTGGGGGGGGAGGGTTGGGGATGGAACCCGGGCATCACACATGACAGGCAAACGCTTACCACAAGCTACTTGGAGAGCTGGTGATTAAAAGGGGAACTTTTGTTCGCTCGCTGCAGCAGCTAGCTCTTCATAAAGTGGCTGAAACGACAGAAAGAGGCACTCACCAGACTGTTCCATGAGCCCTGCGGCAACACCGCGTATTAAATCAAGGTCCTCCCTCTGGTCAACGGATGACCTTCCCATGGAACAACTTCTGGGCCCACAAAAAATTAGACAGTGCTGGGAAAGAGTATATTCTGCAAAGTTATAAATAGTGATCACTGTTAAGGGAGAGGGAGTATAATTTAAAAAAATGCTTAGCATGTTGCTTTAGGGGCACAGGTAAGAGATTAACACGTCCTCTTTATGTTCTTCAAAATTGTCACTGAATCCCAGTGGTAAAAAGTAATAACACTGAAATGATAGCTGGCGATGCAACCCACAGTCCTGTGGAGGGTCAGAACCAAAAAAAAAAAAGATTCCCACCTTGCGAGCTCTTTCCTACAATTCCTTGACTATAAACTTGTTCAGTTTCTCACTTGATTTAAAAAAACAAAACAAAAAAAGACACCTTGAGGTCCTCTGAAGCATAAAGCTTCTGCCAATGCCACCCTCTTTGTGTGTGTGCGTGTGTGGGGTATCCTGGGGGTTGAACCAGAGGTGCTTTACCACTGAGCCACATCCCCAGCCCTTTTTGTTTTTTTGAGACAGTGACTCACTAAGTTGCTGAGGCTGACCTCCAATTTGTGATCCTCCTGCCTCAGCCTCCCTAGTAGCTGGGATGACAGGCATGCGTCACCAGAGCCGGCCATCCTCTTTCATTTTATTGTTTGGTTTTATTTCAGAAAGTCAAAATAGTTTTCCCTCTAAATCCCACTGATGGGAAAGCTGATTACATGCAAAGCTCATGACAATATTTCAGTAGCCTTCCTCTGGCTGATCTACTGGCCTCAGGTCAGAAAGACACACAGGGGCTCTGTGTCTGATCATGCCAGCCTTTCCCAAGCTTTGGACCACACACCTCGGGCACTTTATATAAAGGGTGAACTTTGAGTTCTAATGCGTTTTTGGATTACTGTGGAAAGCAAAAAAACATAAATCACTGCAGCAGAAATACCGATGCAGGTTTAGAGTTGAGATATCTAACAGGTGACCTAACCTAGCAGAGCTTTGTGTAGCACGTGCATATGCACCAGGCAGCTGGGTGTGCACCAAGTCCAGGCCCCCCGTGTGCCACCACACATGAGCTCTGTTCATGTGGCTGCCACCTCCCTTTTGTGAAGCACTGGAATAGGAACTGCTGTGGGGCCCAGCTCTCGGTGACTAGAGGATGTAAACAAGGAAATTACTGTCTGAATTTCTCTTTAGGGTGCTTTGCCCCTGAAATCATTCACTGCAGTCTGTCAGAGAGATGGATCTTGGGATCGACCCATGCCAGAGTGCAGCTGTACGGCCGTGTGGTGACAACTCCCTCACCTGCTGCTACCCTTACTGCTTCTGTCACTTCTCTGCCCCTCCCCCCAAACAATGGTTACATATATCAGGGCTTTGATTCAAAACTTGCTTCTCCTCCTCAGTCAGCACTTAGAGGCTCCAACAGCACGAGGTTACTAGGGAAAAGTCAAAGTGTGCTCTTTGCATACATTACACACACACACAGTGACATTGAGAACCCATCACACCACCCAGTGAGAGTATAATCACCATTATTGTTTTGGTGTGTATCCCTCCAATTACACATATCTCACATGTATGAACATGTACTTGCTGCCACATGTTGAGATGGGAGTCATTCTGTCCATATGTATGTACATAAACACACATATGCACACTCACAAACTAGGATAATGGTGCACCATTTTGTAGACTAAGAATCATATAAATTTAAAGAATCGTAAAAATAGCATTTCAATTGTAAAAATACAAACGTGTAAATTGAAAAAAATAAGGAATTTACAATATACAGCAAAAGCATCTTTTGCCTCTCTCCAAACTACCACTGAGTTTGCAGGGTATACTGGAGGATGGAGCTCAGTTAAGAGCACTTGCCTGGCTTGCACGAAGCTGAGTTCATCCCCTGAAATGCCCTCCCCCCAAAAAAATTGGGTGGAGGGGCTCTATTCATACTTTTTTTCTTAATATATTTTAATGTGGTGCTGAGGATTAAACCCACTGTCTTACACAGGCTAGGCGATCGCTCTACCTCTGAGCCCCAGCCCAGCCCTATTCCTTCATTCTTTATCTCCTGTTTTGAACATGCATTTCATTATGATGGCCTTGAACCAAATGATGGCACTGTGCTTCCTCCTGGCTGGGACACCTTCCCTCATCTGCCTGACTTTAAGAGGCCTACTCCTGGATCTGTGTACAGCCCCAATCACTTTGGTGCTTTTACTTTATCCAATTTCTGTTGCCACAGTTTTGCTATTGTCAGGTGTAGATTTAAGTCTATGTACCTTTTTTTGTGTATTCTTTTGCAAAGGTTTTCATAGAACAAATTCTATGGAACAAGAAACTTAAGTTTTTTTCTTTTTATAAATTTATATCTCCACCAATGAGAAAACAGTAAAGAGCTGGTCTGGGTTTGAACCCTGATCCTGCCACTTTTTGCTGTGCCCAGGTGGCAAAACACCAGTCTCATCTTCTCATCTACAGCATGGCAGATTGGCCCTGTCAAGAGCTGTAGTGACATTGAGGAGGAAGGTGGAGAACTTGGCACAGAGCCAGGCCCACAGCTACAAGGTTGCCAAAGTGCAGCTTTAATATCCCCAATAGAACTACACCAACAACCCGTGTCTACTGTGGAGAGATCTAGGACTTCAGACAAAAATCGCTCCATCTCGTTTGTATCACAAATTGGCTAGTGATGTCCTAAGCACTGTCAATTCTGGTCCACACTCAAGGGATGAAATGACGACCCTCAACACAACTGTTTTGCTCAGACTCCAGGTGGTCTAAAGTTCTGGTTGGAAAGGGCCAAAAGGCCCTGGGTTCATTGGCTTATCTTGACCCAGGCCTGCTGCTCTCCTCCTCCCAGAGTGCTGCTACACGGCAGCCTTGTGTCTTCTTTCTGCACCAGGGATGGAGCCCAGGGGAGGGCTACCACTGAGCCACACCCCAAATCCTTTTTATTTTTTGAGACATGGCCTTGCTGTTACTTAGGGCCTTGTCAGTTTGCTGAGGCTGGACTCCAGTTTGTAATCCTCCTTAATAACCCGAGTGCACTGCACCTGGCTAGTCTTTGTTTCATGAGAAATAAGGAACTCCAAGTATTTCCTTTAGGGAAGGCACCGCCCTGATCCTCTCCTGGCCCAGCCATCTAATTAGAATCTGGACATGAGTGATGCTTTGAGATCACACTAATGTGATTCTTGCCACTTCCTAGAGATGAAATTCATAATACCAACCACATAGGGGGACATGCATGTGGTCCAGCCCACCTTCTAGATACGCTGCTAGTGGTCTTCAGAACTTTTCACTAATTTTATGGTTCTGGAGATGAAACTCAGGTCTCCTCAGGCAAGTGCCCTGCCACGGAGTCTACCCCCAGCCCTCCCTTCCCATATTTCTTCACTAGTGGTGGACTGTGGCCCTCCAGAGGAGCTGCCCAATGGCCGAGTGGAATACCTCACTGGTCCTGAAGTGACCACCTATAGAGCTGAGGTTCAGTACCACTGCACAGAGACCTTCTATACAATGAAGAGGAATAATGGTAAGAAAGGTTTGCAAAGTTGGGGTGGCGATATTTAGAACTTAAGCTTTCGTGTTCTGGAAATAAACTTTAACCAACATTTTTGGCTAAGGAAGACAAAAGATTAAAAGGCACTTCTCCCACCGCTAAGTGAAATATTACAGCTAAAGTGACTTTAATGTCAATTTGCAAGAATCTGGAAACAGATCTTATCTAGTAAATGACTACTACAAACACACAATATATTCCAAATGGTTTAATTTAACAAGTCAAAACGTTATCATTAAGCACTTGAGATCTTGATACATATTCAAGTTACACATCTAAAAGGTTTCCACTTTGCAAGCAAACATGGTAATGCAGAGACCTCCTATTTATGAAATCATGTAAAATGGTTAGTCAGACACCTCTACCTCCCACAGATGCTCAAGAATCAACATTTTTCAAGGGGGTATTCAAGCAAATGACAACCAAGTTATACATGCAGTTAAACATTTTTGCTTTTCCAATGATTTGCAGGTAAATATGTGTGTGAGGCTGATGGATTCTGGACGAGCTCCAAAGGAGAAAAATCACTCCCAGTCTGTGAGCCTGGTAATGGACACATTTATACAAGATTCATAATTGACGGAAAGGAGAACTGGGTGGGAGACAATAAGAAGTGCTTTAGCTGTGGTAGGCAGAAATGAAACTTTAGCACTTGGCTCTTAGACCAAGTTATTATTTCCAAATAATCCGTTCTCATTATCCCCTTTCCACACAGAGAGGTTGTGCAGTGCTGACTGCATCAGTCATTTGATTATTTTTGACCTTATAACTAGGCAAGCATAAAAAATTAAATGATTTTTAAAATTATCTTGAACCATTTATACATTTATAAACACGAGTTCTTCTGTTGTTACTTTTCTTCTCTGTAAAAATGCTATTAAAACCCAAAGCTAATAACTTCATTATTTCCCTAAGCAATTGTTTTCAATGACATCTAGGTTTTTAAACATTAATGCAATTTGCTTTTTAATAGTGCTTAATTTTTTTTAAACCAGAATTGGCTCTAACAATAATAGTTGAGAATGATTTTTTTTAAAAAAATTTGAAAGGTAATAATATATTCATTACCCCTGTTATTTGGCTTAAATTGTTTTTTTTAAACCTATACTTGGCCGACACAACGTTTGTGAGTTTAATACAAGTATACTGCCATAACGGGAAACATATGCTACATTAATGAGCATAATTAATCTGCAATAAGGACACAGTAAGATTCAGTGTTTGGAAGAATCAACCAGACCACAAATAATAATTTCTGACCTGAAGGGTCCTGGATGGTACTGGGATGGAACCTGGGGCACTCTCCCATTGAGACACATCCCAGCCCTTTTTATTTTCTGAGACAGAGGTGAAGCTGCTCAGGCTAGTCTTGGATCTCCTGAGTTGCTGAGATTCTAGGCATGTGCACTGCACACAGCTCCCCAAATCTTATAGACCAAATTCTTTTAGTAAAAAAAAAAAAAAAATTTATTTCCAAAATTTAAATTTCACTCACAATTTCCTGAGGAACTAAGAAATACCAAAATTATTTACAACTTTGAATTGTGCTATTTAGGAAACACTCCTACTTGTAGGACCTAATTTTTGGCTGACATTAAACACACACACACCACCAAAGTGGTAAAAACTTGGAAAAAAAGCCCCACTGGATTTTTACAAAGTCTCTCTCACTGCTTCTTCCCCAGTGTGTGGACTATCAGCCCGGACTACAAGAGGTCGTATATATGGAGGGCAAAGGGCACAGCCTGGTGATTTCCCCTGGCAAGTCCTGTTACTAGGTCAAACTACAGCAGCAGGTGCACTTTTATATGACAACTGGATTCTAACAGCTGCTCACGCCATATATGGGCAAAAAGAAGAGGTATCTTCCCTGGACATTCGAATGGGCATCCTGAATAGACTATCGCATAACTACACAAAAGCCTGGGCTGAGGTTGTTTTTATACATGAAGGTTACACTCATGAGGCTGGTTTCGACAATGACATAGCACTGATTAAATTGAAGAACAAAGTTGTAATCAATAGCAACATCATGCCTATTTGTCTGCCAGGAAAAGAAGCTGAATTTTTGATAAGGACAAATGACATTGGAACAGCATCTGGTTGGGGATTAACCCAAAGGGGTTTTCTTGCTAGAAATCTAATGTTTGTCGACATACCAATTGCTGACCATCAAAAATGTACTGCTGCCTATGAAAAGCAGTATCCAGGGGGAAGGGTAACGGATAACATGCTTTGTGCTGGCTTAGAAACTGGAGGCAAGGATAGCTGCAGAGGTGACAGTGGAGGGGCACTAGTATTTCTAGACAACAAGACAGAGACTTGGTTTGTAGGGGGATTAGTGTCTTGGGGTTCTGTTAATTGTGGGGAAGCAGGTCAGTATGGGGTGTACACGAAAGTCATTAACTATATTCCCTGGATTGAGAACATAATTAATAATTTTTAATTTGCATGTGTTCAATCAGTAAATGAGTCAGTTTTAGAACCTTGTAAAAGATCTTAGCAGTAATGTGACATAGCAGCTACCGCCCCCCGCCACCACACACACAAAATAACCCAAACTCCAGGTGACACTGTTACAGGTACTAATCCATTTAATAGTATAATGCCACCCTTACTTGTTGATTGAAGGGGACATAAACCATCACAGTATTACAATGACATTCACCTTCACCACCCCAATATAACTCACTGCTTAAGATGCATTTACTTACAAAGCCCACCTTTTCATACTAGTTGTTTGCATTTCTGCAAATTGCTTGTCTATTTTCCACTTGTTCTTAATGATCTCAAAGAGTGCTTTATATATTATAGGACTATGGGTTTTAGGGGAGCAACTTTGAAAAATCATTTTTTCCCCCAGGTAGATAAGATGTTCCTAGCAATTGGAAATAACCTAAATAATGTTCAACTTCAGAATACTGTCTAAATCAAATCTGGTATTTCCACAAAAGGAAATGTACTAGAAACAAGTGGTTATATTATAGATAAATCTGAAGTTTTTTTTTTTTTTTCCCCTTTTCCTTAACTGAACACAAAATTCTCAGGCACAGGTAAGCTTAACAATAGACAAATTCTACCATAGCTGAGTAGACAGTTCTATTATTCAATTCAGAGATACTCTCCTGTGTGTAATAATAAAAATTCTAATTATCAGATGCAACTGAATTACTGTGTAACTTCCTACTGTTCCTACTATGGAAATACAGGTGCTGATTTAACCTTAAAATTTAATTTTAGTTGGCTATCCCTAAAACTTTTTATTTATTTATTTATTTATTTTGCACTGCTGGAGACTGAACCCAGAGCTTCATGCATGTGAGGCAAATGCTCTGCCGGAGTAACATCCCCAGCCTTCTTCCCTAAAAAATTTAACAGTAAATATTTAATTAAGTTTTTCAATATAGTTAGTTAACATATGAAAATTCACTCTTGACTTTAGGTCTAATTTCTCTTGTTCATATAAAGTGTAATTTCTTGATAATCACTTTTTAAAGGTAACTTTCCAGCATCTTTGTCACATAGGAAAAAGAAATCATGTTTTTCCAGTAAGACTCCAGACACTAAACTGTGGTGACAATAAAATTTTTATTCAACTGTGGTTCAAAAAAATTTTTAGAATGAATGCATTTAGATGACCAAATAAGACTTTTAAAAACAAATCTTTGCCAAATAGTTTAAGTACTTCTAAACTTTAATTTTTTTTTTAAGGGTAGAATAACTACCCACTATGTAGTATCATAAACATGTTAAATAAAAGGCTACTCAACATTGAAAGCCTTCTATGACCAGCAACTAGCTTTAACAAGTGTAAATAAGGTATTAAAACCATGCCATCGATAAGTTAACTTACCCCTGGGCTCCTTGAAGGCTTGTCAGTTTAGTCTTTGGAGGTCCCCGAATACCATTTTAAGTGTTACCATGTTACTGCTGCTGAGTAATAGTGCAAGTGCTAAAATGCAAAATTCAGATGGTACAGGGTTTGGAAATCATGCAGATTCAGATGCAGAAAAATATTAAAACAACTCAAGATCCTTTTACAGAGGAAACTGCATAACAAAACAATGTGGCAATCACAGTCTAAAGGATGATTTCATTTATAAATGTTTAAAACACTCAACTTGCAAAATGACAAACCTATTTATGGTAATCTAAGTAGGTAAGGGCATCAGGTAAACTACCAACACAAAAACTGTCACATTCTTCCAGTTAGAAAACGAGATCCTTAATTCTCACAGGATTAGCATTTACATAAAAGTACAATAAAGAATCAATATATATTATTGCTTTTACATTCTTAACAATGCATTGTGAGAGTCTAATCTGAGTTCTGTAAGCGAGTTTATTCAACATTATTATACTTCCCTCCCTTGGAGGGCAAAGCCCACTTCACTTAACACTTCCACAGACAGACAACCCACCCTACTGGTTCTTAAAGCTATCAGGCTTCTTAATGGATTTCAGGCACAAGGTAATTTGTGGTTTCTTCTACTTTATCCCTATTGCAATTAATTCCACTTTTCAATCCCAAACAGAAAGGTACTGATAGTCCCTTCTTTTCAATTGATAGGCTTTGCTACAAAGCATTTGAAAATAATGTTTTGCCCACTCTCCCAAACAAGAATATTTTTAGAAGGCATTTCCCAATGGAGATTTTTACAGGCCATGTAAATAGAACATCACCCAAATGCACAGAGGCACTAAGAAAAAGCTGGAGGGTACTGCTTACCATTTTAGGTGCGGTCACCCAGACTTATTAAAAACTAGATTAAAAAAAGAAAAAAGAAAAAAAGAAAAACTTTTCACTTTGGACAATGCAAGAACAAATAGCAATTAAGTCTGGGTATCAGGTGTCAATGCATGACAGGTGATGAATCCATTTGACTTGAGACAACTTTTCAAATAAGTTTATTTGAAGCAAAATAAACTACTGCCAAGAAACTTTATGAAAGTTCCATCTCAAAAGGGTCAAAAAAGGGGAATTAACTGCTATGAATTCTTTGCATTCAGGGCTGCAAAACAAAGACACATATTATTTAAATCAGTTTTATTTAAGAATTTCCAACATTGACAACTCTTATAAAAAGCATCCAAGCACAGGACACAGAACTGCAGCAAACAGCATTCTTATGGGTAGCTAACAGACATTAGAACTTCCACCCTTCTTTGAGACACCTGAGCTCACTGGTGAACTCTGCTTCCAAGTACTCCTGCAAAGCACACCACAAGCTCAGTCCATGTTCTCAACCCATCAGCTTCAGTTCACATTACCACACTTACATATCAGTAACAGAGGAGAACACACACCATACAGCATTCACAGCAGTTGACAAAGGGGCAGGGGAAGTACAAGTATCATTTCACTTAACACATTCAACTAACGTGGGTTATCTAAGAACAAAACTCACTTAAAGTCTTCCAACAGATGTGGATGTCCTTTGAATGCAAAAAACATTCGTACATTATTTGCTATCATTGCTCTCTGCACACTCTCTCACCAAAGCCACAGGATTGAGAGACACATCTCGCCAAGTTAAAAAATATCCATTATGCACCACCAAGTCTCTGCACGCGCTCTCTCCTTTCCTCGCTCATACTAGCCTTTCATGCCTCGGCACCACCATCAATCCCACACAAGGTTTCAAAAGTTCAAACAGCTTTCTGGTTCCAAATCACAGCCTTGCGTTCATAGCGTTGATACGACTCCATGAAATAAAGAGTAGCGGATAAAAATGGGACACCCACCGTCAAAGACGCAGCCTGTGCAGCGTGATGACGAATTCTTGAATGAGAAAGCATGTAGACAGAAGCATTCCTATGGCAGAATATTTACAGCACTACTTTCAATGAAGTGCTTCTTCCATAAACATTTGAAATGAGATGAACTGCAGAGATTAAATGAAGGCTTCATATTGTACTTTTGTATATGAGAGGAGACAAGTGTTAAAAAACAAAACCAAAAGAACCAAACACTGTGACACCATGATCTCCCAAAAGGAGATTTTCCTAAGGAAAAAATCCATATGGTGGGGTTCAAATTAAAAAAGGAGAAAAGAATGTAGTTCTAATCAATGGTTTCCACTTTGAACATGCAAAGAATTCACTTAACAAGTCCAGGGATAAAACATTACAGGAGAAACCTTTTGATATCAATTGTAGTGTGTTGGTTTACCAATCAGGCAAACAGCAATTCACTTTCAGCCACTCAATATTTCAACCCTTTATGTAACAAAACTTATAAAATTCCTTTAGCTCTTCCTCTTTTTCTAAAGAAAAATGTCAAAAATACTGCTGAATATACTCCACACTGAACAAACCAATTTTGAAAATTCTTAGTACATATGTATTTTACAATATACTTACCATGAGTTTAGAAAAATTTGAATTCCCACCATTCTAACTAACCGACCATAACCCACTATCTACATTCCCCAGCCAGAAGATTTAGAATCCATGCTTGAGCCAAAGCCTCCATTGAAACCACTACCTGACCCTGCATTTGATGCTGATCCCCAACCAATTGCAGCACCAGAATTAGAACCACTATAGGAATTATTTCCAGACCCAAAAGCTTGATTTGGCTCTCTCTGCATGTTGCCCTGGCTTTGGTTATTACCTGATGGGCCTGACTGGTTCTGCTGACTGGCTAACATGCCCATCATACCCCAACTGCTCTGTAGCGCTGCCTGGGCTGCTGCCATCATTGCTGGATTAATGCTAAAAGCACCAAAGTTCATCCCTCCACCCATGTTACTACCCTGATTGTTTCCCAAGCCAGCTCCACCCCCTCTACTGTTACCAAACCCACCCTGATTCCCAAAGCCACCTGGATTACCACCAAATCTTCCACTTCTCTCTAACTGCCTATTGCTATTGTGCTTAGGTTCAGCATTGGATATATGCACGCTGATTCCTTTAATGATCAAGTCCTCTCCACAAAGAGACTGGGCAACCTATAAAAAATAAAGGATGTAAACAAAGGAGATTAAACCACTAACTCATACCTCAAAATAGCAATAAAAAACTAGATTTTAAGCATAATTTATCTGAACTGGAGGGAAAATAAGTAATAAATACTCATTTCACCAAAACCTTCAACATAGCCTTTCAGCTTTAGTAAAGATAACAGTGGTAACTTTTTTCAAAAGATACATAACAGGGCCTGGGGGTACGGCTCAACGGTAGAGCACTCACCTAGCACGTGTGAGGCCCTGGGTTCAATCCTTAGCACCACATAAAATAAATAAAATATTGTGTCAAACTAAAAAATTGATAATTAAAAAAATATATATATACATAACAGGGCTGGGGCTATAGCTCAGTGGTAGAGCACTTGCCTTGCAGGTGTGAGGCCCTGGGTTTGATCCTCAGCAACACATAAAAATAAAGATACTGTGGTCCATCAACAACTTAAAAAAAAAAAAAGATACATAACATTCCTGAAGACCACATACTGAAAAAAATATATAGAGTATCTCCTTAATATCTAGGCCTATCCACCCCTTAGAAAGTCAAAAACTTAGCTGAATGAAAAAAATTCAAGAGAAAATGCCTAATTAGCTGGGAGAAATTAGTAAGAAGAAAAATACCTGATCATCTGCAAATGTAACAAAGGCAAAAGCCCTGAATGGTTTGGGAATGAAGACATCTACCACTTCTCCATACTGACAGAAGAACTGCTGCAGCTCATCAGCAGTCATGTCCTCTGTACAGCGCCCAACAAACACCTTTCTGCTTCTCAAAGGCTCATCCGGGCTTTGCTGGTAAAATCAAAAGGAAAGAAAAACATCAGAAATATTTTATAAGCAATGCAAAGAGCATTATGGTAGGGATGTTGCCTTGTACAACAGGTAAATCATTAAAGGGTAGGCATACTACTTCTTACATCAGTACTTCTCTATCTTGTAAGCCTTTAACGAAGAATAAAGTTTTTTCTGGTACCAGGATTGAACTCAAGAATGCCTAACCACCAAGCCACATCTGCAGCCCATTTTTATTTTTGAGACAGGGTCTCACCAAATTGTTTAGGGCCTCACCAAGTTGCTGAGGCTGGCTTCAAACCTGCAATCCTCTTGCCTCCGCTTTTTGAGCTACTGGGATTATAGGCATACACCATTGTGCCCGGCAATAATAAAGTATTACATTATGAAAGTATACTTGGATTTATGATGATCAATGAGTATCCTGGCACAGATGCTCCCATATGCCTTTATAACAGGATTAATGTATTCTGATTGACTTCATGTTTGAATGCATACTGTAAGAAACCTGACAGAAATAATAACAACAATATTTGGGCTGGAGTATAAAGTCTGGGCTGGGGTAGGGTTTAGCTCAGTGGCAGAGCACTTGCCTAGCATGCTAAGATATTGGGTTTGATTCCCCAACACCACAAAAAAAAAAAAAAAAAAAAATTAAAACAAATTTTTAGTTTGGAAGAATAACAGATTAAATATTTCAAAGCAACATAAAATATTCAGCATGCATTAAGGTTCAAAGACTTCAACAAAGAAAAAGATCAATTCACAAACACACCCTGCAACTGAACCCAGGGCCTCATGCATGGTAAGCATATGCTCTACCACTGAGCTACATCCCTAGCCCCAGCCATGACCTTTTCCAAGTGTACTTAATGTTTTATGTTAGTGTCTTCTAAGGAAGTTGATAAGCAAAATTCCCAAAGTATAGAGGGGAAAAAGTGAAGTACCTTAGAATTGGGGAGTTTACAGTCACACCATCGTCCGTCTATCATATGTCGCTGTGACATTACTTTCACCTGGGTTTCATATTCCGTAAATCGTACAAAGCCAAACCCTTTTGAATGACCAGTTTTAATATCTTTCTTGACCTGAAAAGACAATTGATATTTACTTTAACACAATGCTCATACCCCCAAATCAGAGTTCTCTGACAGAGAATTTAAATGATTTAATCAAATGAGATAGATAATAAAGTTTAAATCAAGTTAGTCTTCAGGTAAAACCAATAGGAGGGAATCCAGATTATGTTAATAGTACAGCAAAACTCATTTACACAATAAAATTACAACAATGTTTTAGAATGAGTGCAAATATAAATTAGATTTGGTTATAAATCTTAACTAATCAAATGGGAAAAGCAAACATTTCTCATCAATATATACACAACAAACTGAATGTCTGTCACCTACTTCCCTTACGTCTTTACCAACAGAATTTTTTCAGTTAGTTTAGTTTTTTTTTTTTTGATACTAGGGATTGAACCCGGGGGCACTCAATCACTGAGTCACATCCTCAGCCCTATTTTGTATTTTATTTAGAGACAGGGTTTCACTGAGTTGCTTAGTGCCTCACTTTTGCTAAGGCTGGCTCTGAACTTGTGATCCTCCTGTCTCAGGCTCCCAAGCCACTGGGATTACAGGTGTGTGCCACCTAGTCCAGCTAGCTTCATTTTTATAATATGAAATGCAATGCATGTGCATAAAGCCAAATTTCTTTGTGAGCATCCCTATGTACATACACTTCCTAACAAACGTTAAAACTCTTGCAACAAAGGAACAGTGCCACTAAAGTAGTAAGAATGCTACATGCTCATTCACTGGTAAAGAAAACTGCTAAATGAAGTAAATTTTTACCTGCACCATAAGAACTTCTCCAAAGGTACTAAAATACTCTTTCAGGTCCTGTTCGGTTGTTTTCCACGGGAGACCCAATACTATTAAATCAGATGTTTTTTGGACTGCTCTTTTCACTTTCACTGCCGATGAAGCATCTGTCTCATCCATTTTCCTTTTGTTATCTAAATAAAATTAGTAGACACCTTTTAGAAAATTTCACTTAGCTCTCCTTTAAAAACACACTACCCCTTATGTCTAGAAATGAGAAGCTAAAAGAAGATTCTAAGAACAACAAGACAATGAAAAGACGGCTAGGAGTAATGTCAGCTCTCACAGACAGAATGAAGGCACATTCAGGAATTCCCAAATTCAGGTTTTTGTAATATCTCAAGACTATAATCAATGGTAGGTTTTCCCCCCATAAACCATAAAAACTTCATTTTTGGCTAAATATATTTCCTTAATTATTGAAATGCCTAATGTATATTTAAAGGCTACATACTAATTTAACTTTAATCTCCATATGTGAATTTAAAGACAATTTTAATTTTCGTCTTTTCCAAACGTCCAAAAATATGCATCAATTTCATAATAAGAAAACCAGAGATTATTATTAAAAGCCTTGGGTTATTTGGAAGGGGAGAACTAAGTGACATTTTTGAGGTTGGGTACTAGTGACTGAACTCAAGAGCCTCACACAAGCTAGGCAAATGTTCTAACACTGAGTGACACCTCTAGCTCTTTTTTTAAATTTTGAGACAGGGTCTTGCCAAGTTGCTGAAGCTGACCTCGAACTTGCGATCCTCCACCTTAGCACCCCGAGTAGGTAGGATTACAAGCGTGCACCACCTTGCCTAGCTTTAAATGAAATTTGGACACATATTAAATCTATAGTCAATAGTTCAAGAAACAGCCTCCTGAAACTTAATTTATACCATCAAACATAAGTCAATGTCTTGTATAGTGACCAAGTTTGGTGAACTACTTTGTTACAATATTGTGATTTTTTGTGTGGTACCAGAGATTAAACCCAGAGTACTCTATCGATGGCTACATTCTCAGCTTTTTTTATTTTGAGAGAGATTTTGGCTAAGTTGCCAACGCTAGACTGGAATTTGTGATCCTCCTGACTCAGCCTCCTGGGCAGATGGGACTACTGGGGTGCACCGAGGCACCCAGTCTGCAATATCAAGTTAAAAATAAAACTAACATACATATTTATCAACTAGCATAAATTCATACTGCTAAATGTTCTTGGTATGCTTCTTAATCCCCATGGTTCCCCCCACTTTTTAATATTTTTTAGTTGTAGTTGGACACAGTACCTTTATTTATTTTTATGTGATGTTGAGGATCAAACCCAAGGCCTTGCATATGCTAGCCAAGCGCTCTACCGCTGAGCCACAAACCCAGCCCCATGGCCCTTTTCTTAGATTTATAATGTCAGTGATAACCAGCAGCGAGAATAAGACCAGAAGCTCAAAAACGGGACTGCACTAATTCAAGATTTGGATTACTACAGTTGATGTACATTTTAAGGGGGGGAGGAGAAGGGGAATAAGCCAGATAAGATAAATGAATAATGGAAGGACAATAATCAAACCAAAATACTGGGGCACTTTAAGAGAATCAATTTACAAGACTGATAAAACTGCAAGACATTAGAAAGTCCCTAAATATGTCATTCACTTAGCAATGCTTATTCAGATAACTGATTAAATACATAGTTTTCTCTGGGAAACAAAATGTTCTGTAATTCCCAATTTGCACTAATTTAGACTTGTGGTCTTCAAAACTAGTCTAACAGTGAAGTATGTGGATATATACTTGGGTTATAAGAGACGTTCTGCCATGAAAAGAGGCCATGATCTAACACTAGGGACAAGACACAAACCCAACTAAGCATCAGCAATTTGCAAAACCAAAAAGTAACAAACCTTTGGGATAGTTGACAACGTATACCAGGTTTCCCCAACCAGCATCAGGGGCATGCAGAATTCCTTCTACTAGGCGAACACCTCTCATACACTGGGTCACTGGATTCCTGTAGCGCAGTCCACATGCCCCTGGAAACTGGGCTGTAACTGTGGACAGCAGCACTGTCCCATCATCTTCTGATGGTATTTCAATGGGCTCATCATTCTCATCTTCTGTTACCCGAATATATTCAGACATCTTTTCTTACTTCTCTTAAAGGGAAAAGAGAGAGCGAATGAGCAACAGTCCCCTCAAAGTAATTACAGTTAGCTGATAACACCATCCCGTTACTGTTCCGACTTCCAGAAGAAACTCTTGCTCTTTTAATTCCCACACCTATTGGCTACCCCCGAAAACGGCGGCGAAGGCAAGGATGTTGCTTTCCTATTAAAATTTTGATGCCTCCCTCAACAGTTCATTCATTCAGTGCCCATTTAGTAAGAGCTACGCATCGGGCGCTGAAACTGTAACTGGGTCCCCACGTGGCACACTGGTTACAAAGGCGGGAGTAAGCAAGAGGAAGAAAGTAAACAAGTAGCTATTTTATTACAACCGTGAAAGTAGTAAATAACCCTGAAGGCGCGGGAGAACTTGAACTTGGCCGGGGCTCGTACGAGTGCGGATCAAGGCAGACTCCCTAAGAAGGCAGGGCACAAGCCGAGCCTTGAGACTGCAGGGGCAGGGGACCAGGGGACGCGAACAGGGGGACGGTCCCTCTCTGTTCCTAACTTTGGGGCGGCTTTCCAAACTTGAGCCGCAAGGACAGCGGCGACAGGTCCTCCGTGAAGTGGGCCGCCGCCTCCCAGAAGCCAGTGCGTGCAGGCCGAGGGAGGAGTTCCCAGCGCGGCCCGGGCGGCGACGCAGGGGCACCAGGCCCGAGCGGGCACCGACTGTCCCCTGGCGCGAGGTGCCGCAGGCACAAGCGTGGCCCGGGCCCCGGCGCAGGCCGATCCGCTGCCTGCGGCTGCTCGGCACCGCGGGCCGGGCATCCCCGCTCCGGCGCCCGCAGCCGCCCGCGCCAGGCCCTAACGACGCTGCCGCGCGAGCCCGCTCGGGCAGGGCGAGGTAGGCCTGGCTCCGCGGCTCCCTTACCGGGCCTCTGGGCCCACCTCAGGCCGCCCCCAACGCGGGAGGCGAGACACCCGCGGGGTCCACAGTGAGAAGCGTCCGCGACTCACCCGCTAGGCCGCTGCTAGGAAGCGCGACACCGAAACTGAAGCAGCGAGGGATCCAAGAGCAGCCCAGCTACCTCTACGTTCCCACAAAATGGCGCTAGGGCCGCCTCCTCCCCCCCGCCGGCCGTCGTCCTCTCCCACCGGCTCCGGGTCAAGAGGGGGAGGGCGCCGCGCCAAGACGCCAGGATCTTCTCCTCAGCGGGCTGGGCACCCTGCTGGGAGCCCGAGCGTGAGGAGAGAAGATTTAAATGCTACAATAAGACCAACATCTGGGCCTGAAAAATCAGAGACTGAAAAAAAATACGGACGCTCAGACTTTTAACTCCCCCTACGTAACGTAGCAGATAGTTTCGCCCGACCAACCGCCGGCCCCGGAAGTGCGCGAGACCGGTGAGGGCCAGGCCGGCCGGGGCGGGGAGGGGCGGGGCCAGGCGGGGCGGGGCCAGGCGGGGGCGGGGCGCGGGTCTCGGACTTGGCTGACTTTGGGCGGGGGCGGAGGTGCAGCCCAGGTTCCCTCTTCCTGAAGCCTAGCAGGTGTGTCCTCTCCACTAGCCAACCTCCGACCTGGAAACAATAACTGTGTTCCAAATAATAGCAATAACAGTGCTACTATGTGCCAGGTACTCGGAGCGCTCACATATTTAATTGCCCAACTGTCTTGGGTGCTGGGCATTATTGATATTGTTCTTCTGCAGGCGAAGGAAACTGAGGCACAGAGGTTAAATATCTTGCATAAAGTTACCCAAGGAATAAATGCAGTCCTGGGATTTGAATCCTAAGGCACAAAATACTAGCCTGTTCCTGTTCAGCTTCTAGTAATAACAATGCTGTATTTGATCTATTTTAAAATACGCCTTTTTTTTCCCCTCATATCTGAAATAAGTATGTGATTTCAGTTCCAGCTGATGAAGGTCACAGTTTAACTGGCAACAATTTTTCCACCCCTGGGGAGTGAATCCAGGACCCTGAGGAACAGAAAGCACCTGATCTACCACTGAGCCCAATTGGCAACACTTTGAGTTTCTTGGTATATACATGTATCAATTTCAATGACGAAGGTTTACACAGACTCTGAACCTCAAATTTATGAATTCATGACATCTCACAGCAACTCTGTAAAGTAGGACAGAAGTTAATCCCTGTAGTGAGAACAGAGATCAAGTCACTCCCCCTCTCCCTAAAACTGTCTTGGGTAATAAAAGTGCAGCCGGGATTTGAACCCAGGCAGTCTGCTTCCTGTGTCTTACAGTCTTCTAGGGAATGAATAGTAAGTCTTGCAAGCCCATCTCTGATGTGTGCTGATATTATCAAGCATATTAACTAGACTCTGCCTGAGCTGATTTGGATGGATGAGGGAGGAAAGAGCAGAGGCAGATTTAATGAGTGACCTTTACCCACTTCTGGGGGTAGCCCTGCACACAGGAGACCAGGCTGGACAGATGGCCCCTGCTGGTTACTAACCTTGTGAAGCATTGGGTAAAGCACAGGGTGGGGGGGACTGCATCATCTCAATCAACTCAGCTGCTCTGAGGCAGAGTCGGTTTTATCATCATCATTTTGCAGAAGAAGAAACTGAGGATGGGCATTTAATATACACATTGCTGTAGAGTTTTGGATGGCGGCTATGAGTGAAGGAGGCTGAGTGTGCAGAAGTGAAGGAAAGATTACACAGGAACAGAGCGATACAGCCTGTCCTTTCTCCCCAGAAGTTTCCAGGCAAGTTGGGAGGACCAGCAAGCACCTTCTGGAAGAAGGCAAATGACTCAACCAGGAAGAGAATGAGACCAAAGGGAGGCTGGACCACAGAGCCTCCCACTCCTGTCTGAGTTCATCTGCGGTTTCAGCTTGAAGCCACAGCACCAATTGTCGAAAGTGATTTGAAATGTAGTGTTTTTTAAGTTCTCCAAGTTTGCTTGTTTGTTCGTAACCCTTACACATTAAGCCTGCATATTATTAGGGAGCAGAAAGTATCTGTTCATCCCTACCTCCTCTCTTCTGAGCCTTTATGAAAGGAATCAGAAAGGGTTTACTGAACTTTTACACCTTATCAGCACTCTTCAAAAGGTACACAACAGAATTGACAGCCAGCCTTTGCCTGGACATAATCCACATGGGGGTGGGAACAGGTAGGGAGCCCAAGAGACAATAATTGGGAAATAGTATCAGGAGGCATAGAGCTTGGGTACTGGACAGATGCAGAGGGCTGAGGGGTTCTCCAATAGTTCCCTGGGGAGCTGGTTTCCAGCCTGGGGATAAGGAGTCTCACTGGAAAGAAGGCACTGGAAAGAGACTCACAAGTCTAAGAAAAGGCCCCCATGTGCAGTCCAGTCTCTGGGATGCCTCCTATCTTCAGGACCTCCCCAGATTGTCCAGTTCGGTCAGTTCCATGAAGCTAACAGGAGGGAGCTCTATGTGCATGCCTAAAACTAAAAGAAAGGCAAAGGTAATGAAGCCATTCAAATAAGGGTAATTTAAGCTGGTGTGGTGGCACACCCTGTAGTCCCAGCTCCTCAGAAGGCTGAGGCAGAAGAATGGCAAGGGAATGGCCAGCCTGGGCAACATGAGACCCTGCTCTAAATAAATGATTAATAATAAAGTTCATTTTTCAAAGTATTTATTTATTTATTTATTTGGGTGTAGATGGACACAACACAATGCCTTTGTTTTTTTATGTGGTGCTGAGGATCAAACCGGGGTCCCGCTCCTGCTAGGCTAGCACTCTACTGCTGAGCCACAATCCCAGCCCCTAAAGTTCATTTTTTAAAAAATATTTTTTAGTTGTTTATTTTATTTATTTGTATATGGTGCTGAGAATCGAACCGAGTGCCTTACGCGTGCTAGGCAAGTGCGCTGCCACTGAACCACAACCCAGGCCCCATAACGTTCATATTTAAACATCTTTTTTAAATAAATAAAGGTAACTTTATTAAGTATGATTTATTAAAAATTCCCTTGTGGGCTGGGGATGTGGCTCAAGCAGTAGTCCGCTCGCCTGGCATGCGTGCGGCCCGGGTTCGATCCTCAGCACCGCATACAAAGAAAGATGTTGTGTCTGCTGAGAACTAAAATAAAAAAATATTAAAAGAATTCTCTCTCCCTCTTTCTTTAAAAAAAATTAAAATTAAATAAATAAATAAATAAAAATAAAAATTCCCTTGTGTTCTCAGGTCCTTCCCAAATTAGAAGCTGCCCCTCCAGTTGGTCTAGGTCTAACTTAACATTTTTCTAAAATTTATTTACCTTGAAATAATATAAAATATAGAGCTGCAAAAATACTTCAAAGAACTCCTATGTATCCTTCATCCAGATTCACCAACTGATTATATTTGATCACATTTGCTTTTTCTTTCTCATTCTCTCTCTAGACATACAAGATTCTCTATATATTTACTTATTTATTTGAGGCTTAGTGGCAGCTCTCATTCTTCTTTACCCTTAAATACTTCAACTTGCATTTCCTAGGAACAGACATTCTCTTAAATAATCTTAGGACAGTTATCAAATTCAGGAGTTATAACATTAATTCTGTCTTGTGTGTGTGGGGGGGATACTAGAGATCAAACACAGGGCACTTCACCACTGAGCTACATCCTCAGCCCTTTTTATTATTTATTGTTTTTTGTTTTTGACACAGGGTCTCTAAATTGCTAAAGCTGGCCTCAAACTCAAATTTTCCTGCCTCAGCCTCAAACACTGGGATAACAGGTGTGTGCCATAGCTCCTGGCATTAAGACCATTTTCTGATAGACAATGATTTTCATATTTTGTTACTCTCCTTCCTCAAAAAAAAAAAAAAGTGTCCTTTGAGGAATTTCTCTCTGTTGTCTAGGACCAATCTAAGAACCATTGTGATCATTCATTGTGACTCTTTTAGTTTGGTGCAGTTTCTCAGCCTTTGTCTTTTGTGACCTTGCTTTTTGTTTTGTTTGCAGCTCTGGGGATGGAATCCAAGGGTGCTCTACTGTGAGCTACATTGCCAGCCCTTTTTATTTTGTTTTATTTGTTCTTATTAGCTATACATTGTAATAGAATGTATTTTGATGTATTATACACATATGGAGTATAACTTCCCATTTTTCTGGTTGATGTAGAATTACATTGGTCGAGTACTCATATATGTAGGTAGGAATGTAATGTCCAATTCATTCTACTGTCTTTTCTATTCCTGTTCCCCCTCCCTTCTCTTCATTCCCCTTTGCCTAATCCAAAGAGTATGTCTATTCTTCCCCCCACACTCTGCTTATTGTGAGTTAGCATCTGCATATCAGAGAGAACATTTGGCCTTTGAGCAAATGTCATAATTTCATTTCTCTTTATAGCTGAGTAGTAGTCCATTGTATATATATATACCATATTTTCCTTAACCATTCATCTGTTGAAGGGCACCTAGGCTGTTTTTATAGTTTAGCTATTGTGAATTGAGCTGCTATAAACATTGATATGGCCCAGCCACTTTTAAATTTTATTTTGAGACAGAGTCTTGCAAAGGTGCTGAGGCTGGATTGAAATTTGAAATCCTCCTAACTCAGCCTCCCAAATTACTGGAATTGCAGATTACAGGCATGTGCCATCTCACACAGCGTTTTTTTTTTTTGTTTGTTTGTTTGTTTGTTGTTTGTTTGTTTGTTTTTTAAGGCAGAGTCTTGCTGTGCTGCTCAGCAGGCTGGCCTGGAACTCCTGGGCTCAAATAATTTTCCTGCTTCAGGCTTTCAAGGATCTGGGAGTACAGATATACATCACTGCTCCCAGCTACCTTTTTATTTTTAACTATTTCAGCCATATGAAAAAAAAATGAAGCAATAAACATTAGCATAGTTACTACTTCTATGTAACGGTGGCTAAGATTTTACAATATATATTTTTTATCTATGTAACTATTTTTTCCTGGATGATTTGAAAGTAAGTTGCAGCAGACATCACAACATTCCATTTCTAAATAGTTCAGCCTGGCTGCCTGGCAGCTGGAGCCAGTAATCCCAGCAGTTTGGGAGGCTGAGGCAGGAGAATTACAAGTTCAGTGCCAGCCTCAGCAATTTAGCAAGATCAGGTTAGTGAGATCAGGTTTCAAAATAAAAATGGCTGAGGATGTGGCTC